ACCCCAATGACCCATGGGGCCTCTAGGACAGAGGGATCCCACCCCCAAAAAATGTCTCAGAGCGGGCAGTTTGAAGTGGGGCCGGCAGTCCCCATCCAGCCTGCCTGGCTGATGGGGTACCCAGCTTCACCAGCAATCAAGGCTCCCAGGGCTCTTTTGTGGGAGGACACACCAGCCAGGTAGCCTCTTGGCCAGTGCTGACACGGGAGTCCAACTGCTTCCAGCTCAGCCTCCCATGGAAATACGTGCATCTGTGTCAGCCAAGACTTCCCCGTGACACGGCCTCTTCCTATAACCGCCCTGTTCCAGGTCCCTGGCTGCCCCGACTGGCACGGCCTGTGGATGCACCGTGTGCACCCTGCCAGCCCAGCTTGGCCTCCAGTCCTGTGGAGCTCCACATTGACCCCAGAGCATCAGAATGGCATTAGGGTGGAGGGAGCCCAAACAATCTTTCTGATGCAGCAGGTTGAACCTCGTGGCAGTCATTCCCAGATGGACTGGCTGCTTGAGGGGTCCCAGGCTTCCCCAACAAAGGAGGCTCCCAAGGGTCCTTCTAGAGGGCAGCCTGAGCATCCCACCAGACCCTCCCTGCCAAGTCAGCCCAGATTCCTCCAGCCCGGCCTTCAGGGGTGCCATGTACAATTCTGTGGAATACAGCCCCGATTCTGCACATGCCACGTACCACCAGGAGCTTGCGCCCAGGCCTAGGCTCTGCTTATGGCAGTTTCTTTAAGATCCAGACCACCCGGGGCCTGTGGCAGCCAGGTTATAGGCAGTCAGACCCCCATCAGCGGCCTCCCACTGTGCATGCGTGCTTGATAGTGGCCAAACCACCTTGCCAATCAGGGCCATGGCTGGGGTCTGTTGGGGTCAGACCAGTTTCTTAGAAGGATGCACCAGGGTTGGGGCTCTCTACCTATGGTCTCCCGTGTCAAGTCCAGGCCTCCCCTCAGGCCTGAGCAGCCTGGGCATGTGCAGTCAGCCCTCCTCATCCCCCCCCCCCCCCGAACTTTATTGGCCAAGCCCTTCATGGAATGTTGGGCGCAGGCCAATGCCCCAAACTGCACCGCGCCCCCTCCCCCCCAGGGTGCAGAGTGGTTTCTCCCTGAAACTCTTTCAAAGGCAGCAGCTTCACGAGTTCCAGGGCTTTTCAAACAACCCGTGCTCCCTGGGGTCTGTGTTGAGGTCAGAGGGGTCCACCCATAGCCTGCTCCAGGGCCCAGAATCTCCAACCCTCCTACTCAGTTCTTCCGTTCCACACACTCCTCAGGCCTGGGCTGCCTGTCCGTGCCCAGTGAGACACCTCTCAGCCAGCCTCTGGCTGTGCATGTATACTGGGTCCCACCAGGGGCAAGTGGGTTCTCCCTGAAATGCTATCAAAGGTGGCAGCTTGAAGCTGGCCACAGACAGACCCCTGTAGGACTGGATGCCCCACTGAGCCCAGGATCCTCCAACACCCAAGGCTCCCAGAGGTGTGTATTTGGAGGTTTCCCCAGAACAGGCCACACCACCCCCAGCAGGGCTGACTGGAATCCTCCAGCTCTTCCCTTAGAGCAAATATGCTCCATGGTCCTGATCACTGATGAAATGAGGCAGATAACCTCCTGCTCCTAGCGGGCCACTCTCTACAGCTGCCTTGTGCCACATGGCTGGCTCTGCTCATGGATATAGAGTCTCCTACGTCTTCCACCTCCAGGTCACTGGCACATGCCTGGCTCTGTGGCCACCCCAACACCCTCCAGGGCAGAAGGAGCCTTCACATCCCAAAGTACTTCTTAGGTGTCAATCCTCATTTCATTTTTTTAATGACTTTTATTTATTTATTCATGAGAGACACAGAGAGAGGCAGAGACACAGGCAGAGGGAGAAGCAGGTTCCCTGTGGGGAGCCCAACACAGGACTCCATCCGGGGATCCCACGATCACCCCCTGAGCCAAAGGCAGACACTCAACCGCTGAGCCACCCAGGCATCCCTCAATCCTCACTTCCACTGAGTGGCTTCTTGTAGGATCCCGGGCTTACAGGGAATCAAGTCTCCCAGTTGTCCTAGTGAAGAACACCTTAGCAGCCACACAGTCCTGTGCAGAAAAGGCAGTCCAGGGTCTCCCAGGGGGCTCAGTGGTTGAGTATCTGCCTTTGGCTCAGGTCGTGATCCTGAGATCCCAGGATCGAGTCCCACATCAGGCTGCTCACGGGGAGCCTCTTCCTCCCTCTGCCTATGTCTCTGCCTCTCTCTCTGTGTCTCCATGAATAAATAAATAAAATCTTTGGGAAAAAAAAGAAAGAAAGAAAAGGCAGTCCGCATAGCTTTAGCACGACATTCTAGGGGGAAATACATAAGTTTTTCTAACACAGTAATATGACTTGGGCAGATTTGGGGGACAGTCCTGAAACACTTCCACGTTAATAGTCCTCATCTATGTGTACAACATCCAGCTGGAAGTCCACTGAAAATCATTCTGCGGTGGCAACTTTCAACTGGCAATAGTCACTCGCCCTTCAGACAGGCTACACCACAGGGTCCAGGCTTTCCCCAGACTTGAGGCTCTCAGGGGCCGCATTCCACCCGTCCAGGGGGTGGGCCCTGGGCTTGCATGGCGATTCCTGTCTTCCCGGTTGCCCTAAGGAGGGAGAGGCTGGACTACGTAGGTTAAGCCTTGGAAAAAGGCAGATGCCGTGAACCGCCCTCCCCAACAATTTCCTCCTGTCACGCAGCCTGGCCAGATGGTGCCCAGGTCCAAGTCCTCACCCACCCATGCACAGTCCACACCCGGGAAGCAGGCCCCAGGCTGCGGGGAGGTCAGGGTGCGGGGACCCACACTCTGAACAGCCTCATGAGGCTTCTTGTGACATGAAGGGCTGCCCATCCCCTTGGGTTCTGACCCCATGGGCCCCTGGGCTTCCCCGGCGTCTGTCCTTGGAGGCCTCCTGGAAGCGCTGTTAGTCCAGAAAGAGGAAATGCCCCTTCTCTTGAGAGCTGAGTGACTCGGTCTCTCCTATTTACAGCCAGAAAATCTACTCAAGCCCTCTATCAAAAACATCAGTTACTATAAAGCCAAGTTAAAAGAACCAATCCGGGATCCCTGGGTGGTGCAGCGGTTTGGGGCCTGCCTTTGGCCCAGGGCGTGATCCTGGAGACCCGGGATCGAATCCCACGTCGGGCTCCTGGTGCATGGAGCCTGCTTCTCCCTCTGCCTCTCTCTCTCTCTGTGACTATCATAAATAAATAAAAAATAAAAAAATAAAACAGATTTTTAAAAAAGTAATAATAATAAATAAATAAAAGAACCAATCCTTCAGCTCCAGCCGCTCTGGGCATTCCTCATAGTTCCTCCTGGGCGGCTGCTCTTCCCGGGGCCCCCAGCTGCCACCCCAACTCCCAGCACAGTCTGCTCTCCCCGGTCCACTGCAAACTCCCATCGCCGTCCCTACGGCAGCCGTGGAAGGGCCCCATACCCTGAATGAAGCATCCCTAACTAGGCTTCAGCATTATTCCTTTCTCCTAAACCATACACAGTTGGGCCCGGACCCGACGTCGGAACACGCAAAGCTGCAGTAATTGGAGACTTCACGACCTAACCAGGCTCCCGGACGCCCTTCCCGAGGGCCCCGCCCCCGCTGGCCTCCCGGCCCCGGCCCCGCCCCTCTGCTGGCGTCCGGGCCCCGGCCCCGCCCCCGCTGGCCTCCTAAGTCCAGGCCCCGCCCCTCCGCTGGCCTCCCAGCCCCTGCCCCGCCCCCGCTGGCCTCCTAGTCCAGGCCCCGCCCCTCCGCTGGCCTCCCAGCCCCGGCCCCGCCCCCGCTGGCCTCCTAGTCCAGGCCCCGCCCCCGCTGCCCTCCCGGCCCCGGCCCCGCCCCTCCGCTGGCGTCCGGGCCTCGGCCCCGCCCCTTCGCTGGCGTTCCAACCCTGGCCCCGCCCCTCCGCTGGCCTCCAGCCTCGGCCCCGCCCCTCCGCTGGCGTCGCGGCCTCGGCCCTGTCCCCAACTGGCGCCACAGCCCCGGCCGGCCCCGCCCCCACGGTGACGTCCCGGCCCCGGCCCCGCCCCTCCGCTGCCGCCCCGTCCTAGCTCACCCTCCCCAGGCCCCGCCCCACGTTGGCCTCGTCACTCACGAACAAAGGCCCCGCCCTCTTACGTAACTTCCTACTAACCCGGAAGGAGATTTCCGGAAGCGAAGGTCGCGCTCTGGTAAGTGAATTCTGGTCTTTGAGGTTTAAACCCGGGCTCCTGTGCCCCTTCCCGGCTCCGTTCTTCGCCCGAGGCCCGAGGGTTCCTGCGGGGGTCACAGCCCCCGCGCCCGGCCGTCACGCCCGCGGGGAGAGGCTCAGGGCGCGGGTCCCGTGGTCGCCCGCAGGCCCTCCCTAGCCCCCGGTCCGCTCCGGACACGGTGTCGCCGTGGTCCCCGGACTGGGGGAGGAGAGCGGCCGGTTCCTGCCCCCGCGCTGTGGGGCGGGGTGTGGGGGGGGCGGGCGGCGGCGGTCACCGCGGCCCGGTGAGGGGCGGGCGGCCTGGGGGCCGGGCGCTGCGACGGCGGGGTCACCGCCGGGTCCCCTGCGATACTCGTGTGTGCGGTTGTTGGGCATGCTCTTGCCTTCCACTCAAAACCAAGTTTAAACCCTCTCCTACTTTTATGTGATTTTTTTAAAAAACATTTGAGAGAGGGAGCGAGCGCGCGCACGACCGGGAGGAGGAGCAGAGGGCGAAGCGGACCCCGCTGAGCAGGGAGCCCCTGTGGGGCTCGACCCCGGGACCCCCGGGGATTGTGGCCTGAGCCGGGGCTCGACCCCAGGACCCTGGCCTGAGCTGAGCCGTCCAACCGCCCCCTTTTATGTGCTCTTTTACTAATAGGATCTGAAAGCTGAAGTTTCCGGCTAAGTTTATGATTTCTTCAGATTCCTTCTGTCCCGCCCCGGGTTGTTGTGGAACTTTGTCCTAACGTGTCTCATCTGATCCTAATAAATAACGTTGCTGAAAGGTACTTCCGTTCCTGATTTTGTCTGTTTTCCCCTGCCAATAATAGGGTCTGTTTTCCCCTGCCAATGATCTCAACAGGAAATTTTTTGATGTACTGATGTGATGTTTTGGGGGGAAAAAAAAGACAAAAGCTTTTGATCGGTGTGAGTAAAACCATGAGATAGAGTAAAACCGCGCCAGTTGCTCAAGAGGATGCACTGTGGGCTGGATGGAGTCTTCAGGAGCAGGGGTGAGAAGGGCGGGCCCCACCAGGATTGAAACCACCTCACGTGCAAAGCAGGATGGTGGACTCCAGGAGCCTCTCCTTTCACATCTCTGCCTGGCCCCAAACACACAGCACAAGGCAGCTGGAAAGGGGAAGACCCAGAATTGTTGAAATAAGTGCAGAACAAATGCATCTGTCCGCCAAGGAATAAGACTTGTCTCTGCGAGGGCGGCGTATTAGTGGGCAGACCAGAGAGGAGGGCATCCTCCCTCCAGCAATCCTCCGTTCAGCATACACTGGGAGACTGCAAGGTGGGGGTCACATACACTCCCTCATCCTGAATGCCAGGGGACACGCAGCTTCCCGGGGTTCCCCTCTGTCTGCAGGTATATTATCCCCGCTCCCTGGTGGTTGAGTAGCCAGCGGAGGATACAGATGCCACACGCTCATCTCCTCCCCATGTGCGTGCCTGTAGCCTAGCGATGGCACATTTCTCCAAACCAGGCAGTGGCATCTCAGGACTGATGGTGCCGAGAGTTGCACAGAGTGGAAGGAAGGTGATGACACAGGAAGGTCTCTTTCTCTGCAAAAGTTCGTTTATCTGTTGATGATGCTCCTCTACTACTCTCGGGGTCTCAGCTGTCTTGCCTGACACATTTCCTCACTCACCCTGGCTTCTCTCCTACTCTCCGGCCTCCAAACCAGTTCCATCTCTGAACCACGACATGGAACTTGTGAAGTGGCTGCGTTTAGGGGACCTTCACGGGAAGTGCTTCATGCCCAGACTGAGATTAGGGACCAGGACTGGGCACCATGGTATCAATAAGGTTTGCCAGTAGGTACCGTCTGAGGGCCAAATCTGGATGTACTGTTAGCTCTTCACATTCCAGGATTAAAGAAATGACACATTAGTAATAAGTGAATCGCAGAAATACCTAAAAAATCCTGGAAAAGAATACCAGTAAAGGGAAATGGCTTCACAAAGTAAATGTGTGCATCTGAACTAGAAATAGTCATAATTTGCAGTAGAAGGGAGAGATTACAAACAGAACTGTGACAAATTGAGGTGGTGCCTTAACACACAATGAGTATTTTATTCACTAATTGCTATTTAAAATCAACCTAAATGTTTAACATAAAGAGGATTTTAAACTTGTTCACAGCACAACGCTCCCAACAAGACATTAGTGTTCGTGGATCTGTAAAGAATCGACTCTCCTGCAGATATCTGAGGGTAAGTTGGAGTTTGCTGGGCCACGAGATGTCACCTTTCATGTTGTGATATATGCCAGCCTCATTGTCCCCCCAAATTGCAAAGAAATCTTTATCCATGACCAACTCATGAGGTTCCCCCTGCAGAAGCCAGGAATTCATAATATACATACATACATACATATAGATTTGGATGAAATGACAAGTCTTTATTACCATTTTACTAAATACGTAAGAGACTGAATATATTTTATTTTTATAAACATGTATTAAATGTTTTTCTAATTCATTTTTTATGTACATTTACATACTGTTTTTATTTTTGTAGCTTAATCATGTATACACAGGCACATACTTTGTTCTTATAATCTTAATGCAGTGAAACCAAAATCCTTTCTTTATGCCCTTTGTTTCTTATTTTTCCTGTGGAAGGCATTCCCTGTTTCACATTAAAAAGTGACTGCAGGGACGCCTGGGTGGCTTAGTGGTTGAGCGTCTGCCTTTGGCCCAGGGCGTGATCCTGGAGTCCCGGGATCGAGTCCCATGTCAGGCTCCCTGCATGGAGCCTGCTTCTCCCTCTGCCTGTGTCTCTGCTGCTCTCTCATGAATGAATAAATAAAATCTTTAAAAAAAAAAATAAAAAGTGATGGCATTCCATTTAGTTCTAATATTGTATCATTTAATATTGTGTAACTACTTAATTTTAATTGTGGTAAGTTTGAAATAATGTATCTTCAGATATAATTTCACCAAGCTTGTTTTTTTTTTCTGCTCCAAATTGTTTTGGCTATATCCTGACCCAAAATCAAATTTGACACAAAAATGACTTTTAAGATAATTCTCAGTTTTTATGTGAAATACCATGTGTTAACTTTTAAATCTGGATTGCACCAAATTTCTATAGTCCCCAAGGTTTTTATGTCATAGTGTCCTCTAGTTTAAGGATTGGTTGGGTAGGCTTCATTCTTGTCATTTTTTGTCCTCAAAAGTTTTAAAAATATTTTTACACAGGTCTACCATATGATTTCAGATGGAAGCCATAATATTTTGCTATTGTAAGTAGAGACTTTTTTTAATGTGTCTAATTTTTAAACTACTGTAACTAAAGAAAGTATTGATTTCAGTATATTAAGCATAGATTTGTCCACTTCTAAAAAAAAAAAAAGATTTGTCCACTTCTTAAAATATTTTTATTAGGTATGACCATTAAAAAGTATTCTCCTGTTTGTTAGAATTTGAAATCCTGTCTTCTGAGAATAGGTACTGTTCCAATTCTTTGTTGGCTATTTCTGACACAGGCATCCTAGGCCATAGCAGCAGCCCTAACCAGCCCCCTGTCCACAGCCTTAACTTTAGTGGGACTGCTTCTTTGTCTGCCACTGAGTATGCTTACTAAGTTTCTCTTGATTAACAAGAAATATTCCCCAGTATTTAACATGAATTTTAAGTATTTTTAATTATTTTGAAAGGTCAGATGTTTTTCTAAGGGTCTGCTGATGTGATCTAATTATTGGGGTATTTAAATTTTTTTACTGAAGTGACGCCTAGGTGGCTCAGTGGTTGAGCATCTCTGCCTTTGGCTCGGGTTGTGATCCCGGAGTCCTGTGTCAGGCTCTCTGTAATGGAGCCTGCTTCTCCCTGTGCCTATGTCTCTGCTTCTCTCTCTGGGACTCTCATGAATAAATAATCTTTTTAAAAATAAAAATAACTGATAAATTTTTAAATTTGTGATTATGTTTATGCTTTTCTTTTGCTCTCACACACTTCCATCTGCCTCACCAGTTTCACTGTCAACACCCTATGCCAGGCAAATATCTTCTTTTTAAAATTAATCAAACCCTTCTTGTTTTACTGCATTCCTCAGCAAAAGACTCATTTACTAACACAAATCTATTCCTGTTTCTTGCTTTCACTTCTCCAGTAGATTCCCATTACCTTTAAAAATTATTTTTTAAGATTTTATTTATTCATGGGAATACAGAGAGGAGAGAGAGAGAGGCAGAGACACAGGCAGAGGGAGAAGCAGGCTCCATGCCGGGAGCCCGACGCAGGACTCGATCCTGGGACTCCAGGATCACGCCCTGGGCCAAAGGCAGGCACCAAACCACTGAGCCACCCAGAGATCCCGTAAATAAACAAAATCTTTAAAAAAAAAAAAAAAAAGTTAAAAACCAACCTAATTACAATGACCTTGGTTCCTGAAATCTGCTTGTTTGCCACCATGTCAAGTTCATCCCATTACTCCATTACCTTCCAGTGTGTTTTCACTTCCAGGGGCACAGCAGGTTCTGCTTGTGTCCACAGTGTTCTACTTACTTCCTGTCTTTACTAAACTTTCTGAGGCTTTCCCCTTTAAATTTTTAAGGCGTCAGATAAATTATACATACATTTTAATAGTATTTCCCTAAATGAAACACAAATGAAATGCTTTAGTATTTGAATATCTTTGTCATTATTTCTTTAAATAATCTCTTCTAAACTAGACTTAATTCCACAAGGGCAGATGATCTCTCTCATTTATTCATCCATGGATTTCACTGTCTGGTACAGTCTTTTCTCTGAGTTGACTTGAAATTTTTATTTATTAATGACAAAAGGAGATCCTCACTTGTTCTCAAATGACTCAAAAGTTGTAGTAAGTAGGTTAAAAAGACAACATGTCAAAGGTACATGAAAATCAAAAAGTTCATCAACTAAAATGAACATACTAACGATCTTTTACTGTCAGAAGATTAAAATGTTATTAAAGAAAATGACAAAGCATTTCTTAATGCATCCTACCTAAAAGGAAAATATATTGCATGATTCTTCTTCAAAAATAATATATTCTGTAAAGAAATATCTTAAGATTTTAAAATTTATATTCTTTTACCATCAGTTTAAAACAGAACACTATTTAGAGAAAGTAAAAATTCCATGGTTGGGCAGCCCCAGAGGCGCAGCGGTTTAGCGCCGCCTACCACCTGGGGTGTGATCTGGAGTCACGGGATCGAGTCCCACGCTCCCTGCATGGAGCCTGTTTCTCCCTCTGCCTGTGTCTCTGCCTCTCTCTCTCTCTCTCTCTCTCTGTGTGTGTGTGTGTCTCTATGAATAAATAAATAAATCTTAAAAAAAAAAGTCCATAATCTTTTTTTAAAAAAAATTCCATGGTTATCAGAGGGTGAGAATGGTGAAGAGGAGTGGGAGTTGTTTAGGCACAAGTTTCAGATTTAAAAGATGGAAAGAGTCCTGGAGATAGTGGTGACAATTGCACATTATGAATGTATCAACATCATTGGACTGTACACTTAAAAATGATGAGGATTGGGGCGCTTGGTGGGCTCAGTTGAGCATGCAACTCTTGATCTTAGAGTTGTTAAGTTCAAGCCCCATGTTGGGTGTAGAGATCACTTAAAAAATAAAATCTGAAGGTGCCCAAGTGGCTCATTTGGTTAGGCAGCTACCTTTGCCTCGGGTCATGATCCCCGGGTCCTGGGATCCAGCCCCATGTTGGGCTCCCTGCCAGCAGAGAATCTGTTCTCCCTCTGTCCCTCCCCCTGGCTTGGGCTTGCTCTCTCTCAAACACATATAAAGTCTTTTAAAAAATTTTTTTAAAAATAAAATCTTAAAAGATTAGAATGGTAAATGTTATAATGTATTTTCCTACAAAAAGAATAAAATGGAAAAATGTCCTATTTATAGTAAGGTCAATGCTTAGTGATCATTCACTCTGGAAATAACCTGTCAAGCTATATAATTCATTTACTTAGTAGAAAAAAATCTCATTTTTAGAAAGTGAAGGGAGAAATAAATCAATGTGCGAGTTTAAAGGCATGGAGAAGGTTTGAAATGTTTAAGAAGATGGAAGATTAGTCACCAAATAAGAATGATGTTACCAGATACACTTGGAGGTCACTATGAGTTGTGACTTTACATATAAAAGAGAGGCAAGGGCAGCCTGGGTGGCTCAGCAGTTTAGCGCTGCCTTCAGCCCAGGGTGTCGGTGTGGGTGACCCGGGGATAGAGTCCCACATCAGGCTCCCTGCATGGAGCCTGCTTCTCCCTCTGCCTGTGTCTCTGCCTCTCTCTCTCTCTGTCTCTCATGAATAAATAAATAAAATCTAAAAAAAAAAAGGGAGAGGCAATATTTTCATCCTGTGTTGCCACATAGTCATGGAATAGGCAGGTATTTGGAGTCACTTTCTGTTGAAGCCTTGGTCAGCAGACATAGTAAAGAGACAAATAACATTAGTAAACATCTATTGAAATGAGTAAATTAAACTGGTTAAAATGCTGAGGGCTGGAGACTGACATTTGGGAATTGGAGCAATGCTGTGTTTCCGTGCAATAGAAAACATGGACACAGAAGCTAATTTTGTGAAAAAGCAAGGACAGTAGGTTGTAAAAACAGAGAGGGGCCTCTGTAATGTTAGGGATACTCTTCCAGGTAAAATCCAGGTATGATGTGTAACCTTTAAAATTTGAGATTAGGAGGCAGGCAAAGGAAAATTCAAACTTTACCTGTAACACTTTTCTAATGTATGCTTATGTGCCACTGTATGCTGGTATGCATGAAGCTTTGTCATGTTACTAAAGTTGCTGGAACCTAGAGTTTTTTATTTATTCATTAGAGCATGAGCAGGGGAAGGGCAGAGGGAGAAGGAGACTCCCCACTGAGCAGGGCACCTGATGAAGATAACCAACTCAGCCACCCAGACACCCCCATAAAGTGCATTCTTAATAATCTTGTTTCATAACAAAACCCATTCAGAACAAATCTAAAGGTCAGCATTGGAGTGATACTGCTGGAGACCCTTCTTGGAGAAGACGATGCTGATACGTGTATCCAGAGGGCTGAGAAGTTGGGGAAATAGTACATGAACGGATACCCAATTCTGAGAACTTTCACAATGCTTCCACGTGTGGCAGGTGCCAGAAATCCTGTTTAGGAATCGGGAGGGAATTGGCTTTTCATATTCTTCCTAAATTGAGGGTCCTTCTACCATCTCTCCAAGCAACCATAGTCAGAGCCTCAACTTTGGAGAGCTGTCTCCCTCCCCACTTTCTTTGGAGCACAGGGCATGTTCCTATCGGTTCTGCTGGGGATTAGTTCCAGGTGAAGGACTGGACCTCGTAACAAGTGGGCAGCGAGAGTTTCATGGCTCCTTTCCCCTTCCTCAGCTTTGCCACCCGTTGCTGACACTGTGTACAAGTGACAACTCTGAAGAGACATGGCAACGGAGCAACTAAGAATGGAATCACAAGTGAGTAGGGAGTTATTCTTTCTACTGAAATAGCATGTCTGTCACCATCTGGTGGACGTATAATCATTCATGTTCTAAGTACACTCAACTTTCCAAGAACTGGAATGCTCATGCTTGGTCGACTCATCATCTCTTTCCCAATGTTATGTTAACACATCTCAGCCCCAGTTAATGCCCTGTATTTCCAAGAGAGAAGGTTTTTTGTTTGTTTTTTTGTTTTGTTTTTTCATATCCATCACATGCCCTAGTTGGTACCAAAAATTCACTCATTAACCATTTTATTGACTGTAAGGGCTTAGGATTCAGGTCAGTGCAGGTGATAAAGATGAATAAGGAGGAAAACTTCACAGCCCTGTAGGAAAGCAGATGTTCTTACATGTGAGCTCAGTCAATCCAGTATTATATGTGCTGGGCAGGGAAGGGAGTGCTAATTAATATTAAGGGAAAAATGAATAATGGTCATGCCAGAGAAGCCAATGAGTCGTCATTATTTTTTTTTTCCTCCAAATTTAAACCTCTTAAAAGTTTTGATAGGATGTATTTGTACTTCTTGAAACTTATAAAAGAAAACTAATTCATTACTTCTTCGTCCCAAATCCATATTTTACCCCCTCATTGTAATTTCCCTTTGTTCAAATTTGGTAGCTGGAAACAATGTATAGGGAGCTATAGTTTCCTTAATTTTGACTGTAATTCAGGAGAAGGAGTATAGGAGGTAAAATAAAACTTAGGGACCCGGGCAGCCCTGGTGGCTCAGCAGTTTAGCGCCGTCTTCGGCCTAGGGTGTGATCCTGGAGATCTGGGATGGAGTCCCACATCAGGCTCCCTGCATGGAACCTGCTTTCCCCTCTGCCTGTGTCTCGGTCTCTTTCTCTCATGAATAAATAAATAAATCTTTAAAAAAAAAAAAAAAACAAAAAACGTAAGGACCCTTAGAAATTTTTGATGAGCTGGAGAGACAAGAACAAAAAAGTGGCTTTAAGTAAGCTTGAACAGATACCAGATAAAAGCATAATGATAACTGATATGTGGAAGGCCGCAGGCCACAGGAAGGGTCAGGATACTTTCCTTCATTACAAAAGTCTCAGACCCTCTGAATTATGCTCATGAATCATTTAGCCTTATATTTTATAATAAACACTTAAATTGGGTGGCCCGGGTGGCTTCGTGGTTTAGCACTGCCTTCAGCCCAGGGTGTGATCCTGGAGACCTGGGATCGAATCCCATGTCGGGCTCTCTACAAGGAGGCTGCTTCTTCCTCTACCTGTGCCTCTCTCTCTCTCTCTCTCTCTCTCTCTCTCTCTCATAAATCTTTTTAAAAAAATAAACTCTTAAATTATGTGAAGGTAAAAGGATGTGCTGTTGATCTCCTATCCTGTACAAATTGTTAAGTTTTGCAGAACTATGGACATTGCTTCAGTACTCTCTGACATTTATTGAATAAAACTAGAAATTGTATTTAAGAAATGTTTTCTAGGGGATCCCTGGGTGGCCCAGGGCATGATCCTGGAGACCCAGGATGGAGTCCCATGTCGGGCTGCCTGCATGGAGCCTGCTTCTCCTTCTGCCTGTGTCTGTGCCTCTCTGTGTGTGTGTGTGTATCTCTCATGAATAAATAAATAATTTTAAAAATGCTAGTTAGTATTTACTACATCATTGGATCTTTAAGAACTCATAAAAGGTCAGTACACTTGTGGATAACAAAACTGAGGTCATAAAGGGGAACAATCTAATCCTAGTACTTACAAAGTGGAAGGTTGTGTAATGAGCCCATAGATTTACTTGAATTGGAGAAAAGTGTTTTAAAGTTTTCAAAAGAAACTTTTATACTCATCCTCTGGCAGTCTTAATTACAAGTTTATCAGGAAATCCACAGATTATACATCTCATTCGATCTCTTTATAATGAAATTTATGTGTTTACAATGTGTGTCTGGGTATATCTTAAAGCCAGATACCCAGGTGTGCACTGTAAATGACCAAACCCAACATCCTGTTTGAGCTATGTGTACATGCATGCCTCATGCTTCCTTAGTGCTGTCACCTGTACCATCCTCCCCTGACTATTGGCAGAGATGGTCCTGTCTGAAAACAACATCCATAATCTTCTAGGAATCCGTGACCTTTGCAGATGTAGCTGTAGACTTTACTCAAGAAGAGTGGACCCTGCTAGACAAGTCTCAGAGACAACTCTTCAGAGATGTGATGCTGGAGAATATCAGTCACCTGGTCTCAATTGGTGAGTCTCTTATGTATGTATATATCCATTCACTCATTCATTCAACAGCTGTATAGAAAAGATTCCTCATTTCTCACTGAAGACTGTCTTGATTTCTTTCTTAACTTTCAAAACTACTTTATCACAATCTTCTTCACATTTTACTTTTGTCATCCACTAGAAGGTAATCTCACAATTTCATGCCTTTCGTGCTACTCAATCTCCACAACACTCAAACAGTGGTGGGAAATCATTATTTTTGAATTGGTAAGTAAATATATTGACTTTTAAAAAAATACATTTTTTTTGTGTAGGTACTGACCAACCACAGTATTAAAACAAAAATAAAAAAATAAAAATAAAAATAAAACAGAAAGAGGGGCAGCCCCGGTGGCTCAGTGGTTTAGCACCACCTTCGGTCCAGAGTGTGGTCCTGGGACCCGGGATCGAGTCCCATGTCAGGCTCCCTGTGTGGAGCCTGCCTCTCCCTCTGCCTGTGTCTCTGTCTGTCTCTCTTTGTCTCTCATGAATAAATAAATGAAATCTTTTAAAAGATAATAAAACAATAAAAAATAAAAATAATAAAAACTAACCAGGGGCACCTGGGAGATGCTATCAGTTGAGCATCCAACTTTTGGTTTCAGTTTGTGATCTCATGGTTGTGGGATTGAGCCCTGCATTGGGCTCCATGCTCAATGCAGAGTCTGCTTAAGTTTTTCTCTCGCACTTCTTTGGCTCCTCTCCCTGGCACTCTCTCCCTCAAATTAATAAATATTTTAAAAGAGGGGGTGTAGGGCACCTGGTGGCTCAGTGGTTGAACATCTGCCTTAGGCTCAGGTCATAGTCCTGGGGTCCTGGAATGGAGTCCTGCATCGGGCTCTCAATAGAGAGCCTGCTTCTCCCTCTGCCTGTGTCTCTGCCTCTCTCTCTGGGTCTCTCATGAATAAATAAATAAAATCTTTGAAAACAAAAACAAAAAAACAGATAAACGGTTTTCCATGTAAAACCTAGATTTTTCTGATGGAATTGTATTTATTGGGTTCATTTAAGATATAATATTCACACTGTGAATACTTGTATCATTGTATTAAAATACTGAAAGATTGCAATTTGTCTTTGAACTTAGTTAGGCATCAACAATAATAGCTCCTGAATGTCTTTGAGAAAATTTAAGAATTAAAATTCTGTTGGTGAAGGACTATCCATGTTGTTTTCAACATACTCTTCCCTGGGATTAAATTCTGAGGTTACCTTATTCTTTCTCATTAGTTGGCCCTATACTGATAATCACGCACTGTTATGAGCACAGAAGTCAAAATTCAATTATTTCTTTTCTATGAACAGGCAAACAGCTCTACAAATCAGATACAATTTCCCACCTGGAACCAGGAGTGCAGCTTTCAAAAGAAGGGATAAGTTTGCTGCAATGCCAGAGTCTAGGTGAGCTACAGGAAGAACTTAGTGAGTAGGCCCTAAGAATCATCAAACGAAATTTAGTGACTTTTTTAAAAGACAGTATGATAGGGGAAAACTTCTTCAGATACTGTATTACACTTTAGAGGTGACAATTTCTATTCTGTCTTTGGGAAGGTAATAGTTATGTACTTACTTACTGGAGTTAAAATATACACAGTAGCACTTTTCGGAGTTCTCCTCTATGAAGATTTTCCCTTTTCCTCCCCAGCTTGCCATCTGCATCTTATTTTCCTTATATTTCAGTCCTAAAAATGTCAACTCTTGATGTCATGTTTATTCTCATGTTATATTCCTTAATTTGACACTTTCTCATGTTATTATTTGAAACATACTCAAATGACCATTTAGTGTCTTCAACATTTTAATTCCCTCCATGTCACTATGGGAATTATTTCCCCAATCATTTCAGATAAAGAAGATGGTCCTAAAAAACAAGAAATGATATTCATGCAGCATATCTGCAAGAAGGACACAGCATTAATCAGTGCAATGGTAAGCTTTAAGGGTGTGAACCTGTGCTTCCAAATGATCTGGGTATTTAATAAGTAAGGAATTGGGCAAAATTGCCCAATCATAGTTTAAGCTGGAATCCAGGGTTTTCACAGCAGGAAGTTTTGCTTAATTTAATTTTAAGGAAGAAATTAATGTGAAGTCAAAACCATAATCTGAGGTCTTAGCTGCATGATTATGACTTATTATATACTTAACATTTGAAACATAGTAATGTCTTTCATCAGGTATCTCTACATTTGGGATACTACAAGAAAGAAAATCTCTATGCTTGCCAGAGACGAATACCCCATGTTTATGTAAATACATGCAAACAATTTTGTAGGAGTCTATCGCTGAATGATGACTATAGAATTCATATGCAGGTTAAGGAAGGGAGGAATAAATGTGAGCAAAGTTTTAACAGTCTCTCATTTCCTTTCAAAAAGCAGAGATCTCACACTCCAGAGGATCCTTTTGAATGCAATGATCTGGGAGAAAATTTTACTGAAATACTAACATGGACTCAATATGTGGTACCTAAAATAGAAAAGAATCCCTTTATCAGCAAAGAATGTGGAAAAGACAGCAGTTATTTGACATCTTTTAATATACATAAGCAGAGTCACACTGTAAGTAAATCATATGAATGTCATCAACGTGAGAAAGGCTTTATTCAAAGCTCTGCCCTTAGACAACCCAATAATACTCAAAATGGAGAGAAAACATTTGAATGTCATGAATGTGGGAAAGCCTTTGGAAAAAGTTCTAACCTTAGACGACATGAGATGATTCACACTGGAGTGAAACCACATGGATGTCATCTATGTGGGAAAGCCTTCACTCACTGTTCCGACCTTAGAAAACATGAGAGAATACACACTGGAGAGAAATCATATGGATGTCCTCTATGCGGGAAAGCCTTCAGTAAAAGTTATAACCTTAGGCGCCACGAGAGGATTCACACTAGGAAAAAGATGCATGAATGTCATCTATGTGGGAAAGCCTACACTCAATGTTCTGACCTTAACAAACATGAAAGAACTCACTTTGGAGAGAAACCATATGAATGCAATCTATGTGGGAAGACATTCAGTAAAACTTCTTACCTTAGACAACATGAGCGAACTCATAATGGAGAGAAACCATATGAGTGTCATCTCTGTGGGAAGGCATTCACTCACTGTTCTCACCTTAGAAAACATGAGAGAACTCACACTGGAGAGAAACCATACGAATGTCATCTGTGTGGGAAAGCTTTCACTGAATCTTCTGTACTTAGACGACATGAGAGAACCCACACCGGAGAGAAACCGTATGAATGTCCTCTGTGTTGGAAAGCCTTTACTGATTCTTCTGTCCTTAAACGACATGAAAGAACTCACACTGGAGAGAAACCTTATGAATGCCACCTATGTGGGAAAGCTTTCAATCACTCTTCTGTCCTTAGGCGACATGAGAGAACTCACACTGGTGAGAAACCATATGAATGCAATGTATGTGGAAAAGCCTTCAACAGAAGCTATAACTTTAGATTGCATAAGAGAATCCACACTGGAGAGAAACCATATAAATGTTATATATGTGGGAAAGCCTTCAGTAAATATTTTAACCTTAGACAACATGAGAAAACACATATAAAGGTAATAAATGTGGAAAATTCACCACCTATAGCTTCAAACTATAAACACTCTTGAGGGTTCAAATACTCAAGAAATGCTGTTTGTAATCAGTATGGGAGAGCATTTATTCATCCTTATTACTTCACTCAACTTAGATTAATCCAAAGTGGAGAGAATCCGTATGTGGTCCATCTATATGATAAAACCTTCAAATAATGTACATGAAAGAATGTAAATGAAGTGAATGTGGAAGAATTTCCATACATAGTTCTCTTTTAAAAAAATGAAGTCACATGTCAGAGAAAATCTATGTAATCATTGTAGAAATACCTTCATTTATCCTTTAAATAAATTGTGCAGGAGAGATTCTAGATCTGTAATCACTGTGCATTCAATTTAGCAACACATCTGGCATGCAGAAGAAATGTGCTAAAGCGATAAATAAGTGGGAAACAATCATTAGTAGGAAGACAAGAGAATGTTGTGGCCAAAGGGTTGTGTTCAACAAGAACTAGGACATGAAAAAGATTGAAGACAGTTGGAGTATCCTATTTCCAGGATGCCTAATATACTTCCACTAATTTCTGCAGTGACAAAGCACTGCCTCTAGTAGTGACAACACTATTTGGCAAAACTAAAAGTAGAAGCAAAGACAACCTGACCTTGCCCCATATCCTTGTCACAACAGCTACAAATCCACAATTCACCCAACTAAGGATACCTAGGAGTCCCAGCTCCTCCAACATGCAAATACAGAAAGCTAGAAGAGCAGTTAACACTTCTCTTCTGCCAGGACAACAAAAGGCTGAGTCGTTCGTTGGTACTTTTATAAGTAAAAGTTTGAACATTAATAAGTAATCGTGTTTCACAAGTGGCAAAAACAAAGATGCAAATCTTTATTTTATTAAATGTCATGAGGGAATATGCAATGCCCTTTTCAATCCTTGATTTGTCCTTTCGTTTGAATATATGACGTGTCCCATGTGGAACCTCTATTAAAGTCACCCACTAATGTCACTAACAGGATATAGTTTCCCAAACCTTGAACTATTGAAGTTCTCCATCTTCTCATGTTTCTTATAACTTCTTCTATTTTGTATAGTAATAGAAGTTTTCCTAACTCCAATCTAAAGATACATGTGGATCTGTTCCTTGTGTCTTTATCAGCTTTCCTGCTGCTTTGCAAAGATGTTTTTGTATTTTTTAATTTCACACATTGTCTTAAAAAAAAAGGAAGAGGCTGAGTTGATGTTTTACCCAGACAAGTTTATTATTGTCTTAGTGAGAGGACATCACTTCTTCCATCTAGGAATTAAAATACACTCAGGCTAGATTGCAGCTTTGATTTCATTCATTCATTCATTCATTCATTCATGCCTTTCAGGTCCTTCCTCTATTCCTCTAGATTTATTGAAGGAACCTTCCAAAGTACAATAAACTGAGAAGATAAAACACTTTTTTTTCCTCTCTGTCCATCCCCACCTAAAAACTGATGGGGAAAAGGATCTCAGTATTTGAGATCTCTGTATTTCAGTCAGCCTGTGCCAGTCCACAAGTTCATAAACCCATCTACTTATTATTCCCTGGTAGTATACTTTAGCCTATGATTTTCAGTGTCTATACTAAGCAGATTCCCCCAGATGTGGAAATCAGATGGCCTCTTCAAGGTTATTACAATCTTCTCTGGTTCCACAAATCTCTGAATTTAAAACAATACATTTTTATTTGAATCTTTAATTTTCTGTTGTCTGTCTTATCTCTATTCACACAACTTAACCTAGAAGAAGGTCAAAATTTGTTTGAATGAATTTCCAACTGATTTTGTTAGCAGTCCAAAAAAGTGGCCTATTTTATCTGGACTGCCCTTTCATGGTGTTCCTTTCCAAATGTTCCAGTAGAAAGTCACTCTGAGTATGATAAGCATGTCATCGAGCTTCCCTTTTCTGATTTTATCAAGTCGTCTAAACACACTACACTTCAGTTATTTTGAGCAGTTGCTTTGTGTGTATTAGTACCGTTTCATTGCTATCATTGGTCAATTGGTCCAATAAAGCTACTCAGGACCAAACTGGAAATAATTCACCTGGAGACATTTTAAAGCAAAGAATGATTTATCTCTATTTTTAATACAGATATTTGTCACAATTTTGAACATACTGTTTACATAGGAAAAATTCCTCAGTTTACAACTTGGAATCACATTAAAACTTTCTTTCTCATGGGAATATTTTAATTATCTGCACTTTCCTAATTTAATGTCTTTTTTTTTTTTTAAGATTTTATTTATTCATGAGAGATACAGAGAGAGGCAGGCTCCATGCAGGAAGCCCGATGTGGGAGTTGATCTCGGGACTCCGGGATCATGACCTGAACAAAAGGCACGCTCAACTGCTGAGCCACCCAGGCATCCCTACTAACTTAATTTCTTGAGAATGTTATCAAACACCTAAATATCAACACTTTGTCTTCATCTCTTTTAACATACGCCACCATACAGACCAGTTCTGCTGGGTTGTGATGGGAGGTCAGCACACATTTCATCCCTGTACCAAATACCTGGGCCTCCTCAGCCCTGTTGATGTCCAAGGGTGAAATACCCCCAATATCTAGGCAACACAGGCACAGGGTGTGTGTCAGCAGTTGTCTATGGTCAGAGGGCATATGGTAATTATATGATCTCCACACAGTCCAGTTTCCTTGGTGCTTCTGTGACTTAGAACATCATGGTGTCAGAGTATGTGATCAACGTGGAAAGTGCATACGTGATTCTAAGAACATATACACGCTTTAATCATACCTTGTGTGTGCATACACATGCATATGTTAGGGTTTGTGTATGTTGAGGGTACTGTGTTCAAAGTACGTTAGGGATGCCTGGGTAGCTCAGCAGTTGAGCATCTGCCTTTGGCTCAGGGCATGATCCCGGGATCCAGGATCAAGTCCCACATCGGACCCCTTGCAGGGAGCCTGCTTCTCCTCTGCCTGTCTCTCTACCTCTCTGTCTCTCATGAATAAATAATTGTCTTTAAAAAAAAAAATTAAAGTGAAGATAATTAAACCAGGTTCCCAGGTTCCTATGGCATGAGTGTGTGTGATGACATGCTTCAGAGGGTGCAGCAGGTGGAAAGTAAGGTCTCCCTGGTACCAGTTCACCAGTCAAGGCTCACAGAGCACTCCCATGGGGGAGACTGGGAAAAGTGAAGCCAACATGGTGGAGTCAGGCCTGTGGGACTTGCTGGGGTTCTGGAGAAGGGAAGGCCAGATCCTGACCAGTGGGAAACTATGATCCAGGGTCTGGACGACTCAGAGAAGTGGGAACTGTGGGCACCAGTGATGGGGGCTCTGAGTGGGAGAGCTGTTAAGTTTGGACAGAATGTTGGGGAGTGAGTTACAGAGCTATGTGGTGGAAAGCCTGTAGGTTGGGGGATCAAGGATCCTAAATTCTCCACCAAGGGAAAGGACCAAAGGTACTTTGAGGCAACTCCAAAATGTAGGGTGATGCATACTGTTGGAGGAAGGAGGGGCAGGTGCACAAGCACCTGGGTAGGTGAGGCATAGACTGCTCACACTGGCTACATGTCTCTCAAGGCCCAGCACATCTGGACCAAGCCTCACTGCCCCTGCCCCTTCCCAGGAGAGGCCCCTCTTTGATCACACTCCTCTTTGACCAACACTACATACCCTATAGTCTATCGAGCTAGAAGCAAATTTCCTGGAGTAAAGGTACCACCTAAGTGGACCAGGTTCTGCTGTCTTTGAGACTCAAATCCTACATTCATTGGTACCTCCTGCCCCACCCGTTCTCTGCACCTGCCCATACTGTCAGCAAAGAGACCCTCATCACCCTGAGTGGCTCAGGACACTGGTCATTCTCCTGCCACGTCTAACTTATTTTGTTTCTGGTTGGAAAGCTATCCTTGTCTGTACTTTCTGCCTTTGGGTTCTTCACTGTCTCTTGTCTCAACATCATGACAAATCATAATTAGGGAGTGGATTACTGCCCTTCGCTATCATCAACCAAGTTGGCCCTTAAGACCATCCCCCAGGCACCATGCCATTCCTGATCCTAGCATTCTGCAGACCCCAGGCCTCTCCTGAGACCCTGTTTCTGTTCTCCTGGGAACTGCACCTACTGTTTCTCATGCTTTTGCTTCCATCTACCTCAGGGAAGTCCTGGGAGGTGGGGTGGAGATGGCAGGTCAACAACCTCTACTTTTATTCCAAATTTTACCTTCCTTGCTGTGTCTGGCATGGTGTTTACATTCCCAGTGTTTTGCTGGAAAGTCAGCTCTTGCTAGGAGGACAGCACTGTTAGCACATCCATATGGATGTGGATGTTGGATGTGGGCATACGGAGGAAAGAACAATTCAGAGGAAGAAAAAGACAGACAGAATGAATCAGAGAAAGTGAGGTAGAATGAGAGAGTACAATAAAGGATGGGGGGGGTGGGTCCAATGGGCTCATAAAGAACAAATAGCAGCAAATTACGAGTGATCTAGACAAGATTCAGTGGGATAAATGAAAACAAGTTGGAAAAAAAATGTTGGACCATGAGAGATGAAGGAGACAGAAGTAGGCCTTAAGAACAGCATAGGGCATAAAGGAAGGGCAAATGTCATAATTATTACATTTTAAAATTTTTCTAAATTACTTCCCACTCAAAATTTATTGTCATAAGACCTGAAAATATTCCTCAACCTATGTTAAATAATTTTACATAATTTCAATATGTATTTTTTTAAAGATTTTATTTATCTATTCATGAGACACACAGAGAGGGGGTGGGGCAGAGACACAGGCAGAGGGAGAAGCAGGCTCCATGCAGAGAGAACCCGATGCGGGACTCCATTCTGGGACTCCAGGATCACGCCCTGGGCTGAAGGCAGCCACTCAACCGCTGAACCACCCAGGGATCCCCCAATATGTACTTTATAAGAATATTAGATTTCTTATATTAATAAAACCTTGTATAACCAGTTAGTCTAATATCCAGCAGTATCTCTGCTTTATGTGATCTTCTGACTTATTGAGCAGTGAGCTCAACAAGATTCATAAACTGCATAGAGCCATTTCTAAAGAAGAATGTCAGGCAAAAAAAAAAAAAAAAGAAAAGAAAAGAAAAAGAAATTAAGAGAAGAAAGGAAAGAGTAGAAAGGAAAAAGAAAGGAAGGAAGAAAGGAAGGAAGGAAGAGAAGGAAGGAAGGAAAAAGAAAAGAAAAGAAAGAAAAGAAAAAAGAAAAGAAAAGAAAAAAAAGAAAGAAAAGAGAAAGAGAGAAAGAGAAGAAGGTCAGGCTTTCCTGTATCTTTTACTCATAATTTTCATGCAGTCAAACATAAAACCTTGCCTTCATGCCCTCTTTTTTGCCCTCCTGTGAAAGGACTCACTATTTTGTTATTATATTACTGAGAAAACTGACTTCATCAACATGCCAGAAGGATTTTTTCCTGTCTTCCTCTCTAAGAACACTGATTAGACAATCATCCAGGATGAGAGGGCCTTTGTGGAAATTCAGGAATCCGGCAGAGAAGTTCCAACACACTACTGGAGCAAGAAAAAAAAAAAAAAAAATCAAAGATTGGGTGCATTAAAAGGGTAAGAGTGACAGCGAGACTTTAACTGTATCACAATTCCCCCACAATGGCACAGCTCTGTGCCAGGAGAGACCATCCTGGCCCATTTTCTCCCATGGGGAAAGGGAGAACATCCAAGTGAGTGACCTGCTCCTCTAGCTGTGTGAGAGGCTGCCAGAGAAACCCTGTTCTTTCCTGCATGATCTACAACACTGGGGTGTGCTGTGTGATTCAGGGCTGGGAAGCACCTGTGAGAAGAGCAGAAGGGTCTTACAGGGCATCAAAGAGATGTGGATCCTACTGACTCCACTAACACCACTCCATGAGGAAGCCTGTCCACAAGCTGCCAGGAACACCGCACCTCTGAAACCCACCCCAGCTGGCCCACGGGCAACCCCTCAATGCTCAGTGCACATCACCCACACGTCTCTAAACCTTGTGGCCAGCTTCCTGCATGCACTCGCAACTGTGTTCAGAGGGAACTCTGGCAGATGGATAGTGAAAATGCCAACAACACTGCCCCAACCTGTAGGACCGTGAGTCAACACAAACCAGGAACATTTAGCAGCACAAGAGGGAATGCAGGGCTAAGGCTGTCAGCACCTAACTTTGCAGTAGCAAGAGAAGGCATACATGCCCCCAGGAGGAGACAAGAACTGCAGAACAGGACTATACACAGAAAATGTATGGGAAAAGATACAGCAAACACAGATTTAAAAGAACATAGGGGCACCTGGGTGGCTCAATCAGTTAAGCACCCAACTCTCAATTTTGGCTCAGGTCCTGATCTCAGGGCTGTGAGATCAAGCCCAACACTGGGCTCCATGCTTAGCAAACAGTCTGCTTGCAATTCTCTCTCTCTCTCTCTGCCCCTTCTCCCACTCATGTTCTCTTTCAAATAAATAAATCAAACTTAAAAATTTTTTTAGAAACCTCCCCAATACTTCACCTAGCAATGTTCTTTCCTAAATGGGGAGACAAAGACATCCCCAGATAAACAAAAGATGAGGTAATTCATCACCAATAAACTTCCTTATAAGAAATGCTGAGGGGAGTTCTCTAAGTTGAAATGAAAGGACACAAATAATAACCAAAAAAAAAGCATATAATGTAGTAATATAGCCAAAATCAGAATACTGCAGTCCTACTGTATGGTGATTACTTCCAGCAGAAAGGTCAAAGGAAAAAAGAACAGAGAATAACTACAGCGACCATAATTTTTAAAGGACACACAACATGAAAAGAAATAAATCATGACATCAAAAACATAATGCATGAGGAGAGTAAGGTTAAGTTGCTTATCAGCTCAGACGGTTCTATCTAGATGTTTTACAGAAGTCATACAGCAGCCACAAACCAACTGTAGGTACAGAGAAGATAAAAAGGCAGGAATCAACAAGCATCAATACAAAGGCACAGACATGAGTGAAGGATCAAGACAACTGCAGAACATCCAAAAAAGAACTAATAAGATGGCATTAGTAAGTCCTCGTCTCTAATCATTATTTCAAATGTGAGTAGATTAAATTCTACAATAAAAAAGACTGCATAGTGGCTGACTGAATAAAAAATACCCAAATATACACCACCAACACAAGATTTGCTTCAGCTTTAAGGACACATATGGACTCAAAGTGGTGGGATAGGAAAACATATTCCAGGTCAGTGGAAATCCTAAGAGAGCAGAGGTAGTTCTACTAACATCAGACAAGACAGACTGTAACTCAGAAGCTATAACAAGTAACAAGACCACTATATGGACACAGAGATGAGCTCATCAAGGAAATATAACGTGTTTAAGTGTATTAACGTAATACTCAGACTAAAATGAATAGAGCATTTGATACCAACAGAATAAGGAAGACTTCCAAAATAACATACAAAAGGTAACAGCAGGAAGTAAAGATTTACATTTTACTGTATAAAAATTATAACTAAAACAGATCAAAGTAGACACATATATGTGTATATGACTGTGTGTGTGCATGATAAAACTATGTAATATAAAATATTATATAAAATTACATGAAAAATGAACCAAGTAGGAAAATTAATGGACATTTCTACAAATACAACCGTGTTAATAACATTTATTCAGGGATCCCTGGGTGGCGCAGTGGTTGGGCACCTGCCTTTGACCCAGGGCGCGATCCTGGAGACCCGGGATCGAATCCCATGTCAGGCTCCCGGTGCATGGAGCCTGCTTCTCCCTCTGCCTATGTCTCTGCCTCTCTCTCTGTGACTATCATAAATAAATAAAAATTAAAAAAAAAAACAAAAATAACATTTATTCTGTAATCAGTGAATTATAAATGAAAACAATAGCCATGTTTTATTATATACAAAAAAAAAGAATGTAACATTAAAGTCTTGTCTATAGCTGAGTGAAAAGCCCACATTTTGGGGTTGACAATATCACTGCAACTCTAGGCAGGGACTGTCTTGCCAGAATCTACTAAACATGAACGCACGCACCATACTTCAAACCAGCACTCAAGACTCCAACTTGCCCAAAGCATAGGAACACACAGACATCTTCAGAGAAGCCACTGTGCTCAGAGGCAACCAGTGAGATTCTTTACAAATCCAGTAATGTCAAGGTCTCTTGTATGTGCTGCAAGCTATTTTTAAAATGCTCTTAGTCATTTAGGTTGATCTCATTTTTAAAAAGCAATTGTGGAATAAAACCCACCCTATCACATGGATTAAATGCAACCTTGATCTTCATGATCAGTTTCTGCATTCTCCCACTATATTCCAAGTAATGATTATTTTGAGGTCAGATCCATATAGGCGCACTTTGCCAAGGTCGGAATGCACTACAAAGTCAGGTAGATCAAGTTTTCTATTACCAATCTTCTCTTCCAGGATTTTCCAGAGATTCCTACACACCAATCAACAACTTCCCTGTGCAGTTTCTTTTCTTTTTTTTCCCCTGTTCAGTTTAACTCTTACTCATAGAGAATTGGCAGGACATCCTGATACCCTAGGAAATCCCTGCTACCTTACCCAGTTGAAACCACAGTACTCACCCCCCAGGCTCCAATCCATGTGTGAATATGACGTCCTTCCAATGATTCAGCCCCAAATGGAAATACTTCACAACTCTCACATCAGTAGTTCATAGAGAGATGGATCATGGTTCAGGAAACACCATGAGTGACTGTGAACAATGTGTTAGGCAGGATACTTGAGCTGAAGATTAGTAGGCTCTAAAAAGGCATTTCAGGAGGGAGAGGACATAATAACCAAGAGAATAACTTTTTTTCTAAGAAAAAGGCATTCCTGACTCCTGCTCACCTTCCTTCTTGTCTGAGCTTCCTTACAAGGCAAGATCACACTTAACTCACTTGTGAGTGCTGAGACTATGCCTTTCAGGGCTGGAAATCCATATACCCCTTCTTGTGTCAAAACCATACACACTGGAAGGAATTCAACATGTGGAGATGAGTCCTCTGCGTTCTACTGAAATAGTGGGACACCTCCCACAGAGACTCCTACACTGGATTGTATGGATAGAAGTTTCTGTGATGCGTCCTGCATAACCCACCACCCCAACCTGCAGGGGCACAGGCAGGCTAAAGCATGTTTGTGTGTAATACTCGTGCTGCATGACTGACCTTGGGGGCCTGCTTAGTGGACATTAGCTGGCCTCCTGGTCAGAACTGACGCTTCTGGTCTGGACACCCAGGACTGTAGATCTTGTCTCGCATCCCCTCCTCCTCCAGGCTGGGTGGGCCCCCCAGAATGGAATGCAGGAGGGGAGGCAAGTACACATGGCCTGGGCTCCTTGAAGATGTGAAGACATGACAATGTGGATATGCAGCTCATTCCATACTGCAGGAACACATGTTTAACCTCAGACCCCATCATTGGCCCCATAAATAGAGCCCTGGTGGAGATGGTTGAGGGAGAGGTCTCACCTGAGGGGAGGATGTTACGCCTGGGTGTGTGTCCAGGGGGTTTCCCCAGCTGATGAGGTTGGACTCTGTAAGCACTTAATGCAACTATGTCCTATTCTCCTTTACTGCTCACTACTGCCCTCATCTAGGTGCAGATCTCCCTTCTCTTCTTTGTTTATATTCTATTAAATTTTTATAAGATCAAGAAAGTGGTTTCTCATCTTTAAAACAGAGTTTGGCTGCTGTGAATCTCTTCTTCAGAAGATACATGGATGATAAACTC